TTATTTATGTTCAAGATACGTGTGAAAAAAAAAATATAAATATGATAAAATGGTTTTTTTATATTAAAGTGGCCTACGATGAGAAACAAGTACGACACAAAGGAAATGTTCAAACCTTATTTTTCTTGGATGTCTGAATATGTCAGTTAAGACAATTAAGCTAAGAAGGGCAGTATAGTCGTGACCGTTGAATCGGTAGAATTTGTTTAAATTGAAAAATTTCTTATGTTTAACGCCTGCACATTGTGCTTGTGCGGTCGAAATGTTCTGCTTATCTAGTTGGATCTGACATTTTTATGTCGAGTAGAATGAGTAGAACTTGGATCCTCGATCGTAGGATCGAGATCCTGAGGGACAATGGTTAACCACTTAACCACTGGAGATCGTACATAGGCCATCTCATCGCTGCTTTGTATTATAGTTGACTGGCTGTGAGAAGTAGATAAAGGAACAATGTTTCGTTGATAGAGAACGAATCAGGGGTCAATGAAAGTGTAAACCTTTATGAAGTTCCATTATACATGGTGTCCCATCTAACGTGAACACCTTCAATATCTCACTTGTTTTTGAAGATACAAGAAATAGTGAGGGGAAAGTATTATTTGGTCAGAAGCAACAAATATTATGATAAGCAAACAATTTTTTTCAAGGTCATATTTTTCGAAATCTCAAGGTCATCGATGTTTTTTTTAATGGGACTACAGATTTTTATTAGCATGGTGTAATAGTTGAGATCAAGACCAATCCAATGACCTATAATGGTGTAACCTTCATGTGACCTTGAGTACGAAAAATCAACGAATGTACGAGAGTAGATTTAAATAATAAAATAACTATCTTAGAGAGATTAGTGCCGAAAACTTATTCTAACTAATGGTCAAATGTGATGTTCATCAACTTTGACACATTTTTGTAGACGATAAATGGTTTTCGTACTCCATCTGGAGATAATAATACTAAATGATAGTGGATTTTTCATACTTCAGGTTACTTGAAGGTATATGTATACTGTTATAGGTTATTAGGTTGATCTTAGTCTCAACTACTACACTATGATGACAAAAATATGTAGTCCCGTTTGAAAAAAAAAATATCGATGACTTTCATACTTCTAAAAATATGACCTTGACTTAAAATTTTTTACTTGTTTGCCCCTTCCAACAAATTTTCTTCTGACATTTCTTTGCATTTTCAAAAACCAGGTGAAATACTAAGGATTATCACGTTAGGTGGGACACCCTGTATAGTGTTGTCGGTTAATGATGACATGAAAAGATGATAATTACTAAATGTTATCCTCGTTGTAAGATAAGTTCTACTCTCGATTGCCTGAATGAAGTTTATCTTTCGAATTTGATTAAAAATCGTGAACTGTAAATCCACTTCAGTGTTCGAGTACTTTTGTTCTCGAAACAGCTGATGTGTCTCGTGAACAGTGCAGAATAGGCTTTTGATTAACTAGCAATAATTGATAACTACTGTTAACAGTTCTGATGTAGCCAGTCAATTAACTCCCTATCTCGTGGGTATCGACTCTGTAAACAATGGTACATCTAATACAGATAGTATTTACAGGTTCTTACCGAGAATCTCCCGTAGTTAATTGGTTAACGAAAACGTTCCGATTCAAAGGTGAATGGTACAAGATCGTCAGTTACCTTTCGACATTCAAAATTCAACCGGAAGACGGATTCTTTGAGTATCCAACAATTTTACACGTTCGTGTTCATGTTACACACCTGGTCTCCACGAACAGAATAACCTTTCATAGAAAATTGAATATACAGGGTGTCCCTCCTAACGCGAGCACCTTGAATATTTCACTTCCTTTTGAGGATACAAAAAAATGTGAGGGGAAAATATTATTTGGTTAGAAGGAGCAAATACTATGATAAGACAACATTTTTCTCAAGGACACATTTTTCGAAATTTCAAGGTCATCGATGTTATTTAAACAGAACAATAGAATTTTTCATCAGGGTGACGTATTAGTTGAGATCAAGACCAATCCAACAACCTATAATACTGTGACCTTCATGTGACCTTGGGTACGAAAACTCCAGAAATGTATGAGAGTAAATATAAATAATAAAGTAACTACGATAGAGGGATTAGTCGCAAAATGTATCAAACTTGATGGACATTACTTTCAGCATTTGTTAAAATTGATTTCCTGCAAATTAAAAGCAATTGAAATACTACAGGTGCTCGTTTTAGGTAAGGAACACCCTGTATAGATAACGAAGTTCGATCGCTAATATTGTCGGTCACACAGTGTCTCGTAAACTGAACACAATGTGTTAGTAAACCCTCGAAGCTTAGGAGGATGATCCCCATATAGAATATTAGCGTGTCGGAGGGACCAACAAGCTTTGACACCTTCTACCATCCTCCTTCGAGACGTTAGCTTAACATAGCAGCACCTGCTGTTCCCGCTCTCTTCCTCATCCACCTAACGACCAGCCTACCACGCCGGACCAGACTGAGGCACTGCTCCCATTATTCTATCACCAATACTGCTCATCGAACCATCGCTCTGCATGCATTTTTATTTCTCTGTCTCTCTCTACTAGGGCTATTGATTTGAGCTGGGGGTTTGCAATAGGTGCCCAGATAGACGAAATTCACCCGGGTATCCGTTAGATAGGCTTAAAAAATAATTCACATCTGCAAGATACTCGGATAGAAAAGGCTCTTAGCCATTTTGGACGTTCTCGAGCGACGTCAAATAACAATCGACCATTCCCAATTTGCGATTCTTTCTCATCTAACTGGGTATCTCACGGCTACACCCGGACTTCACACGGATTAGGGATAGGTCCACGATCGAACAGGCTCCAACGTAGATTTGAAGCTTCACTGTTGACCGTGTCCTTATAGAATTATTTTCCTAATGTTCCATAAGCATTACAGCCTAGTTTCATCAGGTGGTCGAATACAGAGTATCAGTGTGTTATTCGAACCCTATTGAAGCTAACTGCAGTGCCTGTGGAACGTTGGGACATTAATTCCATTATGAACACAGCTTATATGCGAAGACTTTAACAGTGAAAACTTGTAGGCTTGAGCATGTATCAGCTTCTATGAACACGAGAGGTTTATAACAGTTGGCTAAACGTAGTTGAAATCTGGGGAGATGTTCAAAGTGAAAGTTGAATCTGGGTTGAAGTTTATTAGGTTAAGTCCCTTAGCTTTTCAAGCGACTTGAGGAGGGCAAAACATCAGAAACTGTGGGACAAGTAAAGGGCAACTTAAAGCCTCCGACCTAATTCAGACTGGCTCGAGTCTGTTGAATACTTTGGGTCTGACCATAACCTCGACACGCCTTATTAGACCTTCGAACCTACAGTTTAAACCTGCTCTAACAGATCTCGTCGGAAGTGCAAACATGTTCGAAGGATCGATCACCAGTGATAGGGGTAATCAAAGTCGTTTCTAACGGATTTCGAACATCCGACGAGAAGTTCAAACGACAGTCCAAGTCGAGTTTGATCCTCGAGCAAAGCTACCGAACCAACACGATCGTGTGTGAACTTTTTAAAAAAAAGTTTCTCGAAACATGTTTAAAACTTTAAGCCTTCGACACTGAACTCGTTATTCGGGCTAAGGCCCGAGGTTCGAGGGCAGTTTGAAAGTTTCAAACATTTTTCAACGAACTGTTCGACATGTTCACACGCGCCAACTGCAGTCTGACTGACTTTGCCCAAGAATGAAACTCGGCATGGGCTGTTCAACCCTTTAATGGCGTTCGACGAGTATATGCGTCACGAAGAAATGATCACTTTTTTGGTAATATCGAGTATACTCATCATGAAGAAATGGCAAGCTTTTATGTAATGACGAGTGTACTTGTCATGAAGAAATTCCCACTGTTTCGGTGATGACAAATATACTCGTCACGAGGAAATGACCACTCTTTGGTTAACGACGAGTATACTCGTCACGGGGAAATTACAACTTTTCGTGTAATAACGAAAATATTCGTCATAAGGAAATGACCACTCTTTCGTGTAATAACGAGTATATTCGTCATAAGGATTTTGGTTAACGACGAGTATACTCGTCACGAGTAAATTACCACTTTTCGGGAAATAACGAGTCTACTCGTCATAAGGAAATGACCAGTCTTTCGTGTAATATCGAGTATATTCGTCATAAGGAAATGACCACTTTTTGGTTAACGACGAGTATACTCGTTACGAAGAAATGATCACTCTCTGGGTAATGACGAGTATACTCGTCATGAGGACATTACCATTTTTCGGATAACGACAACTGTACTCGTCACGAAGATATTACCACTTTTCGCTTAATGACGAGTATGCTCATTACGAGGAAATGGCCACTTTCGGTAAACGACGAGTATATCCATCATCCCTTCACTTCATTACGCAGATACAGATTTCCAAACCAGGGACTTCTACCGAATCGTAAAATACCGGTATTATACCGGTATTTTCGGTTGTACCTTCGCCCTATATAACCCTATATAAGCCCTACCCTTATAGAAATCGAAAAAAATACCGGTATTTATTTCGGTTTCCGTAATATATCGGTTTCGGTATAGCTTTGATAACAGAATACCGGTTTAAGTCCCTGTTCAAAAGTACACAAAATTCCACCATCCAAGGGGGTTTAAACTTTTCGTGTTCATACTAAAACCAAACACGTTTCGAGTTGTTCGTTCATGAACCCATCGCTGTCAATCCATTTTTCATTGGTCATAAATCAACAGCTCTACTATCTCCCTCTCTCTTTCTACTATTTCTCTCTCTTTCTCTCTCTCTCTCTCTCTCTCTCTCTCTCTTTTTCTCTCTCTTTCTCTATTTACCATTCTCTATTTCCATTGGAGTACACACCGTTCGACATGTCGATCGTGCGCAAACATCGAGCGCGAATGGTGGTCGCAAATCCTTGCGTCAAGGTTGATCGGTCCCCGGTAACGGCGATTCTAAAAGTCGTGTACCCCCCATGGGCGGGGACGCGGACGTTGCTTCCAGGTCACAATATGTCAGGCGTGGATGGTAATAGCACCGAGGGGGAGTCCGTGTGCGGCCGCGGCCCAGCCCAGACCGGGCCCGGCTGTTATCGTAACTATGAGCATTACAGTGTCTCGCGGCACCGTCGCAGCGCCTCGTCCTGTTTCCCGAATATGCCGAACGATCTACCGCCGAACACACCGGACAGCCCGAATCGACGTCTGTTGGACTTCGCGCAGAGTGTTCCCGGCACGCAGAACGACGACTACTTCCAGGACGACGTGCCCGCCCAACACGTGACCAACCAGGGCAATACCACGCCTAGCGTAAGTCCACGACTAGCGCGTGTCTGTCTCTTCTGTGTGTGTCTGTGTATGCGTGCGCGTGTGTACGTACATGTGTGACCCCGTATATTACACGTGGCCGCCTGTTCTGTGTGATCCTCGATGTGGTTTTTACGTGTTTTTCCTTGTTTTTCTTCTGGTTTATGTGTTGTGTGAAACGGGACGCCTGGACCCACTAGGCATGCGCGGGCCATTCGCCGTTTACATATACAGGACCTGTTTTGTGTTGGTCCTTTGTATCAGCCGCGGGGTTTGAAAACTGTTATGAAATATCGATTTTGGTTCTTGAGACAGTTTCAAGGAACCGTTGTTCTGTATGAACAGTTATACAGAAAACGAAATTTTCGTGTACAGTAAAATCTGGATTATTGCGTTTTCAGAATTAAAGGAGATATTCAAGGAGCCACGCTTAAATAAGACACCATCTGTATAGGCTGTCTCATACAAGCCGTAGCGTTAAAAGAATTGAAGATAAAGAAACATTTCATTAAGAAAAGTTAAATGATTTTGAGTAAGGAGGCGTTTCAAAGATTTCAAGGTCACCCCTATTTTTTCGAATGGACCTATACATTTCTTTATATACTATTCGATGGATTTTTTAGTTCTCCGCAGAAAAGTATTAAGGTACTTGGGTCGAAAAATAATTAGTTTAAAATGTATTTTAATTTCTGTTACGAAACATAGTATAATATTTGGATCTAAGGCTAGGACGTTTCATCTCTATGTCTTCGCTCGTGTTTACTAATTTTACTCGTATAAGCTCATAATTTTTCGACCCAAGTATCTTAATAGTTTCCTGTAGAGAATGAAAAAATGCATGGGACGATGTATAAAAAAATGTATAGTTAAATTTAAAAAAAATAAAGATGACTTTGAAATCTTTGGAACGTCTCCACTTTCGAAGAAGACATACCCACCACGTGATCCATCAGTGGAAACCATTCGATTTTGCCTAATGAAAATGTTTTCTATTTTCTACCGTTTAAACGCCATCGAATTTTTGAGAATTAATCAGAAACGCGTGTATTCATCACAGTAGCAAGTAGAAACGGAATGCAATGATCAGACGCACTGGCAAAGTGCATCTATCTAGCAGACAAAATCGATTTTCTCGAAAACTAACACGAGAATGAAAATATTTTATTGCATATTTATTCCTTATTTTTTCATAAGGAATCACGTGATGCCCATTTTATTACATATTATTCAGCTGGACCCTGTACTATCGAAACGTCACCGCGGTCGCATTGGGTGTGAATTAAGTAGAGAAGCCTGATATTGGTCAGACTTGGCAAGAATGCGCACATGAATATCCTGCTTTCGTGTTTCACGGTGTGTGTGTGTGTGTGTGTGTGTGTATGTGTGATCACTGGTATTTCGTTTCACGAGTTTATAACGGTTTCACAGATCACCGGTACGAGAAAAATAAACATACAGGGTGAGTCAATAAGAACTACTATCTAAAATAACTCGTTACCTATTGGTTATATCAGAAAAGGTATTAATGAATTTTACGGAACATTTTAAGGGACGCATCAGGTGGATACAATTTGATTTGTTTATATCTTATGTTTTTTGAGATGTCAAGGTGACCTTGAGTTTTTTCAAGGTCAATACAACTTTTTTTTAATACCACCATGCTATAGGTCCTTGAATTCGTACTTCTATTGGCAACAATGTGGTATTAAAAAAAATATGCATTGACCTTGAGAAAACTCAAGGTTATGTTGATATCTAAAAAAAATATATATAAAAAAAAATTGTGTTTTCTAAACGTTTTTCGATACAATCAATAGGTAACGAGTTCCTTTAGACTGTAGTTTTTATATGTATTTTACAAAAATTATTATTGTCATATTATACCCCCCACTATACTGAACAACTTTTATTAATCAAATTTTTTCGTATCCAAAAACAACGGAGATATTTAAGTCCCATTCTTATTAGATCACCCTGTATGTCTATATAAAAACCACCGGTATTAATGGGTTATCCCTTGATTACCTTTAAATCGGCGTTATACGCGTCGAGTCATTCGAGACCCTGGGAAGAAAAATTTCCCCACTAACGTCCAAAAAATGACTTATTAGTAGACTGCGGATTTTATGCATTTATAGAATACAGAAGTATGTGGAATACAATAAAAGATAGAAATTCGATCAAGTTTAATCAATTTTTCATTTTACTTTTACCCACTAAAATCCTTGTGATAAAAAAGAATGTTCTGTTTTTACTCCCATTTTTATAAATCACTTCATAAAATGGCATTATGCATAAAAGTCCGCAGTCTACTTATTAGATTCCCACCACTGGGGGGCTCCCCTCTTGGAACCAATGAAAACAGAGTAAACAGACAACTAAAGAGAGGCTCGGCTTCGTGTAAAAAAAGAACAAATTGATGAGGGACTGAAAACCTTTCCGTCTTGCCACGAATGCTCCGAAACGGACCCGAGTTCGTCGCACTTCTCGAGACATTACTGTCATAAGGTTACTCGTAAAATTGCTCTTGCCTCTGAAACAGAAATCTTTTTCCTCGTTTTAATTTTCTCTCTGTTTTAATTATCGACATATTTTTTCATCGTGATAATTACCGATCGAGATCTGTACGACCGTTATTCTCGTTTTGTAAAGTCAATACGTAAATCTGTTCCCAAGCGTTAATAGGCTGTGTTGTTGTCGGAATGTTTGCTTTCAGCCCCGATAATCGTGAACACGGTAACATCCAGTGCCACCGTTCCTGTTTGGTGTCCATGTAAATGTGTTGGTATTACTATGTCGAATAGCCCCCGATTTTCTGTTACGCCAACGATTTAGCTGTTGTTGTTTAAAACGAATTCACGGGCGTTGATACACACGGAATCACGGAGAATATGACACGATGTGTACCCAAGCACGCCTAGTATGAACAGTGTTGTTCTGTTTCCTTTCTGTTTCTCGATTTTTCGTTATTACATATACATAGAAGGGTGGTGACGCACGCCGAGCATTATTCGTATTAACGTCGAGAATTCGACGGGACATCTAATAACAGAGATTATTCAGTGGACTTAACTTTCAGTGTGATACTCGATTTTAAAGGATGAAGAATATATTTCGAGTTATTTTAGTTACATGTATCATCCGTTTATTTATTATTGGTATTTTATTTATACAGTGTGACTCCAAAATAGTTGTATGTCCTTGAAAGGGGTGATTCCTGAGGTGATTTGAAACAACTTTTTCCTTGGCGAAAAAGTTCTCCGAGGCTTTGTTAACGAGATATTCACGAAAAACACCGACCAATCAGAGCGCGTGTCTGCTGGCTGATCTCCTGTGGTAACGTTAGCTACGCTCTGATTGGTCGGGGATTCTCGTTAATATCTCGTTAACAAAGCCTCGGATAACATTTTCGCTAAGGAAAAAGTTGTTTCAAACCATCCCAGGAACCCCTCATTTCCGGGAGTCGAAACATTTCTGAGACACCCTGTAGTATACGTGTACATGTATATGGTTCGAGGGCAAAATAGTGATGTAGATTTTTATTTTTTTTACTTTCAATGGAATGCATATATATATAATGCACGGAAAAATGATTTAATTGCTAAGTAACATATATAATTAATTTTATTGTATTAATTGTTAATTTTTATCTTAAACTTATAATTTTAAATAATGCTCGTTATAATGTATTTTAGAAGTTAAAATTTTTAAAAATTATTTGAATGTTAATTGAAATGTTGATAACATTCAATCTATAAGTATTTCCTTTTACAACTTACGTTAATTATAAAAAATAATAAGAACAATGGATATCCAGCGAGACATCATTTACTTAGTGGAATTACTGCTTACAAAATAAATTTTTGAATTATCTAAAATTACCTTGTGACGTCACACGAGGGTAACTTTCCCCGTTATTTTTGCTCCACTTCGGCTCCCGAATCCGTATCTACAGGCCGTGTCTATAAGTACATATGTATGGTCGAAGGATCCAACAGACACACACACACGTAAACACATGCAAAAGTTTCTTTAAAAAAAAAACGAGAAAAAGAAACTCCTGACTTCGATATCTCTGCTGATTGGGAAAGAATTTTGCTCGACGTGCAGCCTCTATCTGTTTGTCCGCTGTCTGTCTGTGTGTGTGTATGTGTGTATGTGTGTGCCTGCTTGTGTTTTTGCCCGGGACATATATAGTATATACATCAATGATCGATTGGAGTGGTGTGTCCCCGTGACATGCTGCGAACTTTCTTCGGTATCAGCGAAACGTCTGCCAGCACATCGAATTTCGATCTGGCACGAACCTCGGACCGAGTAAATATTTTTCCCAGGACTGTCGTTTCTTTTCTTTTTTTTTTTCTTCTTCTTTGTCACCTTGTAACAACTTCTGTTCGCCGTTAATGATTCTTTTCCTGATCGTCACACTCTGTCGATCAGGTGTGTAGAAATATTTACTCGACGTGTTACGAATATTACAAATCGTTCGAGACCACCGAACGAATTACATTCGATTTAAAGGTACGATGGTACATACGTTGCATTATAGGAAGACAAACGCTGTGTCACTCGATTCCGTCGAGATAGAACGCGCTGATCGGAGATTTACAAACCGATTTCGCGTTTCGATTCAGCGTGAAGTCGAAATCAGAGGATTACGAGGTGTTGCTAGAATCGAGAGACAGTGAAGACACATCGGGTGTGTGTGTATGATCCGAGACAATTGATTTGTTAGCCGCGTATTGATAGCCCTTGCAACCTGCAGCGTGTCCAAGTGCTTTTTCGTACGGGGAACGTGTTGTTTCGACGATCCATTGACAGAACGGTTACCGTTAAGTTTGTTCCAAAGTCAGAAAATGATCATTTTCGATTTTGCTTTGTCCTAAGCCAGAAAATGATAATTTTCGATTTTGCTTTATCCCAGAGACGAAAAATGATCATTTTCGATTTTGCGTTATCCCAAAGTCAGAAGATGATCATTTTCGATTTTACTTTGTTCCAAG